ACCAGTAATGTTGTGAGTAAGAGTAAAGAAGAAGGTACTGAGTTTGCACTAAGCCCAGGAGGTGAGCCTGGAAATTATATGATTAATACAATATCTTTTCCCCCATTGATTGCATATTAATAAACTTGTTTTTAGAGTAATTCTAGGTGTATTCATTTCTCCCACAGTATTTTACCTTTATTTCCATCCAAGTGACCAGATACCAAAATTACCATACTCACGTGCCTAGACCCTCGACCATGCTACCAAAAGAATGCCGAGGCTACCAAAAGAATGTCCATGCTACCAAAGAATAGGTGACGGAACTGAGTAAGAGTAAGAACTAAGAGAAGTAAGTAAGATGAGGGTGGTGTAGAAAAGGAGAGGGAACCGGCCGCCTCACATTGGCGGCAAGCCCAAGAATCCGCCCCCTCACATCAATAAAAGAATAGACGAGACAATAGTCAAAATAGTCAGACAGATGATACTGCCAGAGACAATTACACTTAACATGCGAGTCAGTCGCAACAACCGTATATCGGAGGAGGATAAGAGAAGGATTATTGCAAAATACGAGACAAACAAGGATTTTCTCATCACCGCTGCTGACCTTGGCATTAAGAGAACAACCGCTTTTGGCATTGCAAGAAATTATCAGAGAAAGGGACCTGTAGACGACCCCCGTGACCGTGCAGGGAGACAATTGATGACGAATCCCTGAACTTCCTGGTGATGATGATCGAGGAAGTCCCGACAATCATCTTAAAGGAACTAAACCAGGCACTGCGAGACACCTTCCTTTCAAGGCTGCAGGTATGTGATGCTACAGCGGCAAGCGCATTAGATGGCATATGATAAGTGTAAAGAAATGCACAAATATCCCTCAAGACCAGAATTCGCGTGCAGTGAAAGATGCTCTTGTGCAGTATGCTCACTATACAGCTAGACCCCGACTTACGACTGCTACGACTTACGACCGCCGCAGATTTTTTATTAATATTTTTTATTTACTTATTCTTTTTTTCAAATGACACGCATTTTCTATACCGAAACGTTTCCAGTTAATGTAGTCTTCATGTATAATTAGGAAATTATGGGGGCCCCATGTGCATTCAGCTGACAACATTAAAGGTAAGTGCTCAGTCACACTGTATCCATTCCTTATTATTTAATACTTTCACTGTACTGTATCCATTCCTCATTATTCATTACTTTTACTGTACTGTATTTCATTGTAGATTTTTTATTAAAAAATAAAAAAAAAAATAAAAATTTTTTATCTATGTCGGACTTACGACCTGGATTTGGGTCCCTAACCCCGTCGTAAGTCGGGTCTAGCTGTATATAGTACGAGAAAGGGCTCCAACAACACCGCATCTATGTTGACGAAACTGGAAACAATTTGTACACAAAACATACGTATGGTGTGACATAGACAGAGAGAGCTTTACAGTTAATTATGACAAAGTTCAGTCTTGAAACCACTGAATATCGTTTGAAACAGATAGAGGGGGTGAGGTTCCTGTGTGTGGCCCAGCTGTACTCAAGGATCGGAGCGTAGTGGTGGTGTGTGGTGTTCAGCTAACTTAACATGGCAACTCAAGGTGATATTGTTACCATGGAGCCTAATGTGCAAGCCATCATGGTGGCGGAGCTCTCATTGGGGGAAATAAGGGACCACCTGCCTCCTAACAGGGTTCACACGGAGTTGAAGAAAGGCAAGCAACCAACAAATACTGCGGTGTTTATTGGATGGCTAATATCGACTGGAAGCTATAAAGTGGTAGACGGAACACCGCAACTTAAGGTGATGTTAAGAGAAGTCAACCCAACTGAAGAAATGGGCAGTGCATTGGAAGTGATGTTCCATGAAGACTTGGCCCTTGGTGTAGATGAGCATCTTAAGATACAAGAAGACCAATGGCTCATGATATGGGGATATAGGCAAGAAAGCTCCTTGTACGTGGGAATGGAGGGCAGTGTACGAATTTTTTATGTCCCCTCCCACACCAGTCCACTGCCCTACAGAAATATAATAACAATTTGGGAGTGTAGGCTTGAAATGAAAAAGAGAATGCTCTACGGCATCGTCAGGGAGGTGGTCAAGCATCCACAAATTACGAAAATTGGATCACACCAAACACTACTGTCTCTTGTAGATCACACGTGCCTGCACCCCGGCGCCGACCAAGACGATATCATCCTACACATCTTTATCAATGATCCCGGCAAAGTAAAGCTCCACGGCACTGTGGAGAGAGGGCAGATTATTAGGACAGTGGCAGGGTGCAGGACACTGTCAGGGTGCAGGGCAGTGCCAGGGTGCAGGGCAGTGCCAGGGTGCAGGACACTGTCAGGGTGCAGGACAGTGCCAGGGTGCAGAACAGTGGCAGGGTGCAGGACAGTGCCAGGGTGCATGACACTGTCAGGGTGCAGGACACTGTCAGGGTGCAGGACAGTGCCAGGTTGCAGGGTGGCCGTGATCATCCCACCAAAAGAACTAATCCATCACCCAGTGGGTCGACTACACCTGCTAAACATCCCATTGTGGTGCTTGAATCGCTCTACCATCCTACAACGGCCTCGGATGTATTAGATGTCCAGCCGGGATCATATATGAAAAGATGGCACCGATGCGGCCTGATTAATGTGCCCCAAGGTTTCGTTGGGCCCGACCCCAGACCCGCCATGTGTCTGGCTACCCCACAATAACAAAGGTCGTGGGCCCTAGTGTTCTGCCCTGGGTTACTCCTTGGAAGTGAATGTCCAGAGAATGGTGTAACATGTATGTGAGGGATAATTAGTTGGAAATAATTATCCCAGGTTGGGTAGTGGACCCCTGCATATACTAGGGTCATTGTTTACGTATATGTTGAATAATCTACAATGAGTGCCATGTAATGTACCACCAGTAATGTTGTGAGTAAGAGTAAAGAAGAAGGTACTGAGTTTGCACTAAGCCCAGGAGGTGAGCCTGAAAATTATTTGATTAATACAATATCTTTTCCACCATTGATTGCATATTAATAAACTTGTTTTTAGAGTAATTCTAGGTGTATTCATTTCTCCCACAGTATTTTACCTTTATTTCCATCCAAGTGACCAGATACCAAAATTACCATACTCACGTGCCTAGACCCTTGACCATGCTACCAAAAGAATGCCGAGACTACCAAAAGAATGTCCATGCTACCAAAGAATAGGCGACGGAACTGAGTAAGAGTAAGAACTAAGAGAAGTAAGTAAGATGAGGGTGGTGTAGAAAAGGAGAGGGAACCGGCCCCCTCACATTGGCGGCAAGCCCAAGAATCCGCCCCCTCACATCAATAAAAGAATAGACGAGACAATAGTCAAAATAGTCAGACAGATGATACTGCCAGAGACAATTACACTTAACATGCGAGTCAGTCGCAACAACCGTATATCGGAGGAGGATAAGAGAAGGATTATTGCAAAATACGAGACAAACAAGGATTTTCTCATCACCGCTGCTGACCTTGGCATTAAGAGAACAACCGCTTTTGGCATTGCAAGAAATTATCAGAGAAAGGGACCTGTAGACGACCCCAGTGACCGTGCAGGGAGACAATTGATGACGAATCCCTGAACTTCCTGGATGATGATGATCGAGGAAGTCCCGACAATCATCTTAAAGGAACTAAACCAGGCACTGCGAGACACCTTCCTTTCAAGGCTGCAGGTATGTGATGCTACAGTGGCAAGCGCATTAGATGGCATATGATAAGTGTAAAGAAATGTACAAATATACCTCAAGACCGGAATTCGCGTGCAGTGAAAGATGCTCTTGTGCAGTATTCTCACTATACAGCTAGACCCCGACTTACGACTGCTACGACTTACGACCGCCGCAGATTTTTTATTAATATTTTTTATTTACTTATTTTTGTTTTCAAATGACACGCATTTTCTATACCGAAACGTTTCCAGTTAATGTAGTCTTCATGTATAATTAGAAAATTATGGGGGCCCCATGTGGGAATGGGACAACTGGCCGCCGCCATCTGGCCGCAGCCCAACTGGCCGCGGGAAACTCGCCGCGGCCGACTGGCCGCCGCGGACTGGGGGTAAACTGCAAACGCCTAATTTTGCGCTCTCAAGGCAGCTCCTTAAACCCCCACCAGCGAACGATTGATTCGCGAATGATTAAAAACAAGTCAATTCTGAATTCAACATACAAAAAAACAGTAAAACTATGTACTAAAAAATAAAATAAGAGAAACTTAGATAATAGAACTGATTCTTGTATTCTGTATTCAGTCCTGAAGATGTAATATACGAAAGCGCTTGACACTTCGTATTTTCCTTTTCCTGGTGTAGTTATTCCCGCATATATATATATATGCAAATCACTGTAGGTGATCTAGGTGCGCGGAGGGGTGAGTACAGACTAGTCTGTACTCACCCCTGAAGATGTCATATACGAAAGCGCTTGACACTTCGTATTTTCCTTTTCCTGGTGGTTATTCCTGCATATATATATATATAATCATTCTGGATGTTTCTGAGACTCGCAACAAAACTATTATATTCCTCAATCATATTTCTATTAATAATCTGAGAATGGTCATAACCCAACCCTGTCTGTTCCCCCATCTATGACCTCATCCCTGGGTTAATCCACTACCTGCGATTAGACCTGTCCTATGGCAATTTGTAATCCCTTCCCAGACCTCAGCTGACAGCTGAGGTCTTAATCCTTCAAAATCTGCTGCTCTGAAATAAAGAAAATTTTTTTAATTCTCCAAATTTGAAATTGTAATTTCCCTATTACTGAAAACGAGATTTAATATGTTGTTCCCCTAGTTGGTTCTAGTACGTGTTGATACAGAAAATTATCCTGAATAATTTCTAAACATTCAACAGCTTCTGCGTCACTCAGGTCGGACCCCGGACACACTCAGGTCAGACTCGCCCAACTCAGGTCGGACCCAACTATAATCCGAATATAAAGGGAGGTGTAACGGAAAATTATATTCAGTACATGTCAACCCCCTTCGAGAATGGCATCAGCGAATCTGTCACAGCGAGGGAAAGGAAAGTTTACAAGCGATGGATATATCTATATTTTTGACAAAGTCGGTGCTGATCAAGTCACAGAATTTTGGAGATGTGAAAAGAGGCGGCAGTGCAAAGCAAGAGTTCATGTAAAGGATGGAGAAATTGTCAAATTTATCAATGTTCATTCACACGCAGCTGACGCAGCTCAAGTGGTAAAGCAAGAAACTATTACGAAGTTAAAATCTCGGGCTGCTGAAACGGTGGAACAAACTAATCAAGTTATCAACGAATGTGTAGGAAATCTGACACAAGCATGTCAAGGAGTCCTGCCCACTCACGGTGCTCTACGCAAACTTGTGCGAAGGAAAAGAAAGGAGGTCAGAGCATATCCTGCTAATCCTACTAATCTAGAAAACCTGGTGATTGATGGTGATTTTCGAACTTATGAATCAGAAAATTTTCTTCTTGGTGACAGTGGTGATGCGACATGCAGAATTATTATATTCGGAAGGCAAAGAAATAAAACTTTACTGAAGGAATCCAAAAAATTCTTTGTTGATGGAACGTTCAAAATTACACCTCCCCTTTTTTCCCAGGTGTTTGTCATTCTTGCAGAAATGCATGGAGGTATTCATCCAGTCCTATATGCCCTACTTCCAAATAAATTACGTTCCACCTATGACAAATTATTTAGTATGATTCTAGAAATTCAACCCGAATGCCATCCTGAAGCAATCTACTGTGATTTTGAGGTGGCAAATTTCAAAAGTCTTCAGGAACATTTTCCAACTGCTGAAATTAGGGGATGTTTTTTTCATCTGACACAAAATTTACATAAAAGACTTACATCCTTTGGACTTTCTAGACAATACAATAATGATGCAGATTTTGCTTTGAGAGCTAAAATGATCAGTGCCCTGGCATTTGTACCAGTGGAATATATGACTGAAGCAATTGAAAATCTCGCTGATGAGCTACCAGATGAACTACAAGTACTTCTTGATTGGTTTGAGGACAACTATGTTGGCAGAAGAAACAGAAGGGGTAATGGCAGACGTGCTCCACTTTTTCCACAGGAAATGTGGAACGTTTATGAACGCTCCTTAAATGACGAAGACAGGACAAACAATCACGCAGAAGCTGCTCATCGAAGACTGCAAAATGAACTTGGAATGCAACATCCTACTGTTTGGAAATTTATTGGTTTGAAAACAGTCCAACGTGGAAGAGACCTATATTACGAGCAGCTGATCGCAGGGCAAGAGCCACCTGTCAAGTTGAAGAAATACAGACAAGCAGATGAAAGAATTAAAGCAATTGTCAGTACATTTGAGAGTCGAAATCTTGTAGAATATCTTAGGGGAATTGCCCATAACTTTTCATAGATTTTTGCAGTTGAATCTTGTTTTTTTTTAATCAATAAAGACATTTTAGCATACTTATTTTTTACCAACAATAATTTTACTAACAACATAACTTTTCATAGATTTTTGCATATGTACCGGGTATCTTTTATTATTTTATTCCAATAAAGTACTTCATAAAGAAATTTTAATCCTCTTTTTTTTTATCACACTTTCATCAATTTTGTCAACAAAAAGTTCCATATGGCGGCCAGTCGGCCGCGGCGAGTTTCCCGCGGCCAGTTGGGCTACGGCCAGATGGCGGCGGCCAGTTGTCCTAGACCGGCCCCATGTGCATTCAGCTGACAACATTAAAGGTAAGTGCTCAGTCACACTGTATCCATTCCTTATTATTTATTACTTTCACTGTACTGTATCCATTCCTCATTATTCATTACTTTTACTGTACTGTATTTCATTGTAGATTTTTTTATTAAAAAAAAAAAAAAAATTGTTATCTATGTCAGACTTACGACCTGGATTTGGGTCCCTAACCCCGTCGTAAGTCGGGTCTAGCTGTATATAGTACGAGAAAGGGCTCCAACAACACCGCATCTATGTTGACGAAACTGGAAACAATTTGTACACAAAACATACGGCTGGTGTGACATAGACAGAGAGAGCTTTACAGTTAATTATGACAAAGTTCAGTCTTGAAACCACTGAATATCGTTTGAAACAGATAGAGGGGGTGAGGTTCCTGTGTGTGGCCCGGCTGTACTCAAGGATCGGAGCGTAGTGGTGGTGTGTGGTGTTCAGCTAACTTAACATGGCAACTCAAGGTGATATTGTTACCATGGAGCCTAATGTGCAAGCCATCATGGTGGCGGAGCTCTCATTGGGGGAAATAAGGGACCACCTGCCTCCTAACAGGGTTCACACGGAGTTGAAGAAAGGCAAGCAACCAACAAATACTGCGGTGTTTATTGGATGGCTAATATCGACTGGAAGCTATAAAGTGGTAGACGGAACACCGCAACTTAAAGTGATGTTAAGAGAAGTCAACCCAACTGAAGAAATGGGCAGTGCATTGGAAGTGATGTTCCATGAAGACTTGGCCCTTGGTGTAGATGAGCATCTTAAGAAGATACAAGAAGACCAATGGCTCATGATATGGGGATATAGGCAAGAAAGCTCCTTGTACGTGGGAATGGAGGGCAGTGTACGAATTTTTTATGTCCCCTCCCACACCAATCCACTGCCCTACAGAAATATAATAACAATTTGGGAGTGTAGGCTTGAAATGAAAAAGCGAATGCTCTACGGCGTCGTCAGGGAAGTGGTCAAGCATCCACAAATTACGAAAATTGGATCACACCACACACTACTGTCTCTTGTAGATCCCACGTGCCTGCACCCCGGCGTCGACCAAGACGATATCATCCTACACATCTTGATCAATGATCCCGGCAAAGTAAAGCTCCGTGGCACTGTTGAGAGAGGGCAGATTATTAGGACAGTGGCAGGGTGCAGGACAGTGCCAGGGTGCAGGACACTGTCAGGGTGCAGGACACTGTCAGGGTGCAGGACAGTGGCAGGGTGCAGGACACTGTCAGGGTGCAGGGCAGTGCCAGGGAGCAGGGCAGTGCCAGGGTGCAGGACACTGCCAGGGTGCAGGACAGTGCCAGGGTGCAGGACACTGTCAGGGTGCAGGACACTGTCAGGGTGCAGGACAGTGCCAGGTTGCAGGGTGGCCGTGATCATCCCACCAAAAGAACTAATCCATCACCCAGTGGGTCGACTACACCTGCTAAACATCCCATTGTGGTGCTTGAATCGCTCTACCATCCTACAACGGCCTCGGATGTATTAGATGTCCAGCCGGGATCATATATGAAAAGATGGCACCGATGCGGCCTGATTAATGTGCCCCACGGCTTCGTTGGGCTCGACCCCAGACCCGCCATGTGTCTGGCTACCCCACAATAACAAAGGTCGTGGGCCCTAGTGTTCTGCCCTGGGTTACTCCTTGGAAGTGAATGTCCAGAGAATGGTGTAACATGTGAGGGATAATTAGTTGGAAATAATTATCCCAGGTTGGGTAGTGAACCCCTGCATATACTAGGGTCATTGTTTACGTATATGTTGAATAATCTACAATGAGTGCCATGTAATGTACCACCAGTAATGTTGTGAGTAAGAGTAAAGAAGAAGGTACTGAGTTTGCACTAAGCCCAGGAGGTGAGCCTGGAAATTATATGATTTATACAATATCTTTTCCCCCATTGATTGCATATTAATAAACTTGTTTTTAGAGTAATTCTAGGTGTATTCATTTCTCCCACAGTATTTTACCTTTATTTCCACCCAAGTGACCAGATACCAAAATTACCATACTCACGTGCCTAGACCCTCGACCATGCTACCAAAAGAATGCCCAGGCTACCAAAAGAATGTCCATGCTACCAAAGAATAGGTGACGGAACTGAGTAAGAACTAAGAGAAGTAAATAAGATGAGGGTGGTGTAGAAAAGGAGAGGGAACCGGCCCCCTCACATTGGTGGCAAGCCCAAGAATCCGCCCCCTCACATCAATAAAAGAATAGACGAGACTTTAGTCAAAATAGTCAGACAGATGATACTGCCAGAGACAATTACACTTAACATGCGAGTCAGTCGCAACAACCGTATATCGGAGGAGGATAAGAGAAGGATTATTGCAAAATACGAGACAAACAAGGATTTTCTCATCACCGCTGCTGACCTTGGCATTAAGAGAACAACCGCTTTTGGCATTGCAAGAAATTATCAGAGAAAGGGACCTGTAGACGACCCCCGTGACCGTGCAGGGAGACAATTGATGACGAATCCCTGAACTTCCTGGTGATGATGATCGAGGAAGTCCCGACAATCATCTTAAAGGAACTAAACCAGGCACTGCGAGACACCTTCCTTTCAAGGCTGCAGGTATGTGATGCTACAGTGGCAAGCGCATTAGATGGCATATGATAAGTGTAAAGAAATGCAAAAATATCCCTCAAGAACGGAATTCGCGTGCACTGAAAGATGCTCTTGTGCAGTATGCTCACTATACAGCTAGACCCCGACTTATGACCGCCGCAGATTTTTTATTAATATTTTTTATTTACTTATTTTTTTTTTTTCAAATGACACGCATTTTCTATACCGAAACGTTTCCAGTTAATGTAGTCTTCATGTATAATTAGAAAATTATGGGGGCCCCATGTGCATTCAGCTGACAACATTAAAGGTAAGTGCTCAGTCACACTGCATCCATTCCTTATTATTTATTACTTTCACTGTACTGTATCCATTCCTCATTATTCATTACTTTTACTGTACTGTATTTCATTGTAGATTTTTTATTAAAAAAAAAATAATAATAATTTTTATATATGTCGGGCTTACTACCTGGATTTGGGTCCCTAACCCCGTCGTAAGTCGGGTCTTAACTGTATATAGTACGAGAAAGGGCTCCAACAACACCGCATCTATGTTGACGAAACTGGAAACAATTTGTACACAAAACATACGTATGGTGTGACAGACAGAGAGATCTTTACAGTTAATTATGACAAAGTTCAGTCTTGAAACCACTGAATATAGTTTGAAACAGATAGAGGGGGTGAGGTTCCTGTGTGTGGCCCGGCTGTACTCAAGGATCGGAGCGTAGTGGTGGTGTGTGGTGTTCAGCTAACTTAACATGGCAACTCAAGGTGATATTGTTACCATGGAGCCTAATGTGCAAGCCATCATGGTACCAGAGCTCTCATTGGGGGAAATAAGGGACCACCTGCCTCCTAACAGGGTTCACACGGAGTTGAAGAAAGGCAAGCAACCAACAAATACTGCGGTGTTTATTGGATGGCTAATATCGACTGGAAGCTATAAAGTGGTAGACGGAACACCGCAACTTAAAGTGATGTTAAGAGAAGTCAACCCAACTGAAGAAATGGGCAGTGCATTGGAAGTGATGTTCCATGAAGACTTGGCCCTTGGTGTAGATGAGCATCTTAAGAAGATACAAGAAGACCAATGGCTCATGATATGGGGATATAGGCAAGAAAGCTCCTTGCACGTGGGAATGGAGGGCAGTGTACGAATTTTTTATGTCCCCTCCCACACCAGTCCACTGCCCTACAGAAATATAATAACAATTTGGGAGTGTAAGCTTGAAATGAAAAAGAGAATGCTCTACGGCGTCGTCAGGGAGGTGGTCAAGCATCCACAAATTACGAAAATTGGATCACACCAAACACTACTGTCTCTTGTAGATCCCACATGCCTGCACCCCGGCGTTGACCAAGACGATATCATCCTACACATCTTTATCAATGATCCCGGCAAAGTAAAGCTCCGCGGCACTGTGGAGAGAGGGCAGATTATTAGGACAGTGGCAGGGTGCAGGACAATGTCAGGGTGCAGGACACTGTCAGGGTGCAGGACACTGTCAGGGTGCAGGACAGTGCCAGGTTGCAGGACACTGTCAGGGTGCAGGGCAGTGCCAGGGAGCAGGGCAGTGCCAGGGTGCAGGACACTGCCAGGGTGCAGGACAGTGCCAGGGTGCAGGACACTGTCAGGGTGCAGGACACTGTCAGGGTGCAGGACAGTGCCAGGTTGCAGGACACTGTCAGGGGTGCAGGACAGTGGCAGGGTGCAGGACACTGTCAGGGTGCAGGACAGTGGCAGGGTGCAGGACACTGTCAGGGTGCAGGGCAGTGCCAGGGTGCAGGACACTGCCAGGGTGCAGGACACTGCCAGGGTGCAGGACAGTGCCAGGGTGCAGGACACTGTCAGGGTGCAGGACACTGTCAGGGTGCAGGACAGTGCCAGGTTGCAGGGTGGCCGTGATCATCCCACCAAAAGAACTAATCCATCACCCAGTGGGTCGACTACACCTGCTAAACATCCCATTGTGGTGCTTGAATCGCTCTACCATCCTACAACGGCCTCGGATGTATTAGATGTCCAACCGGGATCATATATGAAAAGATGGCACCGATGCGGCCTGATTAATGTGCC